CATATATATAGCAAGAGCACATAGTATTGATGAATGCAGCTTCATATTTATCATATACACTATGGAAAAGTTTCTCATGAAGTAAGATATGGACGTTAAAAGCATTCAAGGCTTTTAAAGCTTGGAATGCTTAGTATAGGAGGGTTATGTAAAGAGTGGTCATGAATCCTATGATACATCGTTTATTCCTTGGGTTTTGTGAGGTAATATAAGAAGGCTGATCCTTTAGGATCTAATAAGTTATGATCACTTTTTATTCTTTGTTTTTATAAAGGTGTATTTGGATTTTGGGAATGGCTGCGAGTGTTCAGTTGATTTGTACACCATAAATCTAGATTTTATTGCCTCCCTCATTTCTCATACATGTAAACTTGGTTTAAGCTAAAAACATAAATCTTATATCACCCGTGAATATTGTGCAAAATTTTTACTGGAAACATTGTGAAAATTTATAGATATTTACTTTAACGCCAATATTTTTGAGCAAAAAGTTCATATTTGGAATAAAGAAATAATAATTTAATCATTTATTAACATATTTCCCACAATTTTATTCAGATAATTGATTCCTAAAATAAATATTATGTTCGGTTATGCATGAGTTCCTCTTTTATACTTCTTCCTCTGATCTTTGTGCTCCAATTTTCTCTCTCCTTGCTAGCTCGAGCCATCGTCATCATCCCCTACATGCCGCCGCACCTGCTACTATCGTTGCTATCGCCACACATCCACACTTTGGCGTCACTTCCGCCAGTTTCAAATTCCTTCAAATGGATGGAGGTGGTGATAGCAATATGATAATGTTATAATTTTCAAGGCACTGAATTATGATGCAGCTTGTTCATATCTTAATAAAAGAAAATGATAATTTTATTTCATACAAGACAAAATCAATGCAATCATACCAAACAGAGCTTATAAATTCGGCAACAAACTATTTATCACAGACATTTATCAAACTTTGTGTGAACTAGTTATAACAAAATAAAGCCATAAAGTAAGATAGGATGTCCAAGATTAGAAATACGTCAATTATAAACAAAAAGGAGCTTGCCAACTATATTTTTCCATGGAGAAGGTCCAAGAATCTTCTTCCAAAATTAAGACACTAGAATATGTTCTCAAATGCTTACTCATCTCTTCCAAAACCCAACCGATTTCTCTTTCAAATATATTCATCAGGTCATCAACCATAAATTCATGGACAATACCATCAACCTCTATCCAGCTGCAGCCCGGCCTCTTCAACAATTTCATCTCCCTCATCTTTCTTCTCATCTCAAGGGCTTCCTTCCATCTGTTGGAAGAAGCATACATGTTCCATAGAAGCACATAAACACCATCATCATCTGGTTCTCTCTCTCTGATCTTTTTCCCAGCCAGCTCTGCCAACTCAAAATCACCATGAATAAGAGAAGCACTAAGCAGCGATCTCCATATCACACTATCCGCATCCATTCCCATATCTTGTATCAACAATTCAGCATCTCTTAGAAGTCCAGCTCTACCTAATAAGTCAACCATGCATCCAAAGTGCTCAACTTGAGGCTTGTAGTTATAGACTATTCTCATTTCATCAAACATTCTTCTTCCCTCATCAACCAATCCACCATGACTGCAAGCTAAGAGAACTGCTAAAAATGTGATCTTGTTTGGGCTAATGCCCAAACTCAGCATATCAGAGAACAATTCGATAGCCCGTTTCGCACTGCCGTGAACCGCAAACCCGGAAATCATTGAAGTCCATGTATAGACATCCTTGTTAGTAACCCCATTGAAGATATCCTCTGCAATTTCAAGATTTCCACTTTTTGAATACATGTCTATAAGTGCATTATAAAGGGTAACATCAAAGCTAGCATTAAGTTTACAAATATACCCATGAATTGTGCGACCAAGGTCCAATGCCCCTACATCAGCACAAGCTGATAAAACACTGACAATTGTGATTATTGTGGGTTGATGACCTTCCAAATTCATCTCATGGAAGAGCTTCAGAGCAGTTATTGGTTGCTTGTGCTGCACATGAGCAGTGATCATCACTGTCCAAGAAACTGTGTCTCTGCTCGGCATTTCATCAAAAAGCTTACCTGCAGATCCCATACCACCACATTTAGCATACCCATTCAGCATGGTGCTCCAAGAGACTGCGTCTCTGCTAATCATACCAGCAAAGACGGCCTCAGCTGAAAGAATATTCCCAGTTTTTGAGTACATGTCGATAAGGGCATTGTCTATGACACTTTCAGAGAACAATTCATGCCGATAGATCAAAGCATGGACCTTTCTACCGAGTTCGAGATGACAGAGCCTAGTGGATGCAGAGAGGGCTCCAACAATGGCAAAACCATCAGGCTGGATACCAGAAGAGATAATATTGCAGAATACGGAGATGGCTTTATGGGGCTGATTGCACTGTAATTGGAGGGAGATGAGGCTGGTGAGGGAGACGATGTCCGGTTTGGGAATTTGATCGAATACCTTGTAGGCGTCGATGGCGCAGCCGAGCCGGGCATAAGCGTTGAGGATTTGGCAGGAAAAAGGTTGGTGGCAGGGATGAAGAGCTTGGAAAATGGCTTGTGCGTGGAGCTGCTGAGCCTGTTTAAGATTTCCACATTTCTTGATAAAATGTTGAAAATTCGAGCTGTTCATTAACCTCCAGAGAGATGAAATTGGCGAACAAATTTGGCAACGGGGCAACTTTTAGGAGAGAATTTGGGATAATTACATAAAGATCATCTGTAACAATGATATTTATAAATTAATTAGTTAGCTGATTTTCTTAATCTAAGAAACGTATGCATTTAGGTGTGCTATGAGCCAATGAATAAACTATTGAATTTGATAAAAATGATAAATATGAGACGGCGTTTTACCATGAATTTTATATTTGATTGAGAAATTGAAAATTTAATGGATGAGTGTGGTTGATTTGTAAATGGTAAATTTGGTATGATTTGTATGTAAGGGCTCATATTTTTTAAAGGGATTTACCGCACTGTCACATAATTTATACATATTTGTATAACTACAATCTAAAATTTAATATTAAGATTTACACGTCCATACACACCACATGTAATTCTTATTGAATACACGAATATCGGAATTAAGAAAGCACTGACCCAGTCGGCCGAAGTGCAGAAAGCCCACGGACTGAAGAGGATTAAGCAAGCCCATTGGCCGAAATGGTTGAGCTCGATCCATCGGAAAGGGTGGTCAAAGCATAACAACATTAATAACCCCGGACATATTGTAATTGAGGCAATGGTCTTTTATCGACCCAACAGGAATGGTCATACCAACCATGTCTGGCAACCATCATTAAGGATATTGTCAGAATTCTACCGACTTCATTCCTTGGAGGTACTAAGGACGACATCTGTAAGGCAATCCAACAATTTTAATGATTGTAAGAGTGTGTTTGGGGCAGCTTGTGTATTTCAAGATAAACAACTTACCTTAAAACAGGACCCTCGGATTGACCGTGAGGGTAGACCCGCGGCCTGAGTTTAGTGCCAAAATGGAACTATGTTTTCGGATAAACAGACAAAAAACTCGATCCAAACAGTACCACTGTGTTTTCAAAAGACACCCTCACACTTATAAGCTGCCCCAAACAAACCCTAAATCTAAACTTTAATTTTTATATTTATATTACTTTACATATGTTTGAAGAAGCTGTCTCATATTTTAAAAGTCTTAATGTGGCATAAAATACTTGAGTGTCATAAATGTAAAATTAAAATGAAAATATTTGATATATACATATATAAAAATTATGTGATATTTATGTAAATACCCTTATTTTAATATTTATTCATATATCACTTCAAATTTTAAATCACGCCAATATAGCTCATATATTCTAGTTAAGAATCCATGGGTTAAGCAGACGTCAACAAGCATGCCTTCGAGACAATAAAATCAATTGAAATTTCAGGTTCCACCGATTGAAGAAGATTGCAAGCAAGAAAAAAAATTTAAAGAGGAAGATTGGCGCTGTGATGTCTCGGATTTTTAATTGAACCATTTCAAGGCTATCTTAAATCTTAATAAGTATAAAATGTGCATTTGAAATAACCGCAATTAAATGAAGTAATTTGCATCATATAATCAAAAAATAATAAATTGTTTCACTTATTGAACACGCACAAAGAAGTATAATTTAAGCATTTTTATCATGAATTTTGATTTTTTTTTTTTTTAAATCAGATGAAAGAGAGTGGTAGATTCGTAAATAGCAATGTTTCCGGTGCAATGTATGTAAACACTACCTTTTTTTATGATGAAGAACTCGTGAGGTAAACATCTTTTTGTGATGCTATTTTGACAGAATGATTTTAAAAAAATAGGATCTATAAAAGATGCTTGATCAAATTTATGTGCAAAAATTAAAGCTAGTGTTACATATTTGAGCGTTAAGAGAACAAGGAAAAAGAGGAGAAAAAGAGTATGGATGGGGGTATAAGTGAGCCGGTTCGAATTTGATGCATTAATGAACTAATGCGGAGTTTATCGTGCCACAAGTACAAGCTCGAGCTTATTCTTATCCAATAAACTTGATCACATCAATTAATCTATCAAGTAAATTAATTCATTAATAAATTGTATGTTGTGATTTACGGTCCATCAAGCCTTCAATCCCATGGATCTTGCCCCACTCTAATTATTGGTAGGCCTAATCTAGACATATCTATATAATTTTTTTGTTGGTTCGTTGCTTTGATCCCGTTAGTTCGCCTCTGATTCGTTCCTAGCATGTGTTCCAAGTCTCGGAAGAATATTACATACGGACTCCGAAAATATCCGATCTTCATGTACGCCATTTTTTTGCATTGGCGTACAAAATATGTACAATAATTTACAACATTGTAGTACATGAAGTTCGGATGCATCTGACCTTCGCATAATATTTTTCCTAAGTGACATACTCCAATGCCAAAGCAGTCGACACTTCACCATTATCATCCAACCTTCGCACATAATAATTTTCCTAAGTGAAACACTCCAATTTCAAAAGCAAACGACACTTCAACATCATTGCATCTTCCGACAATCATGTAACCGACCTCCACTCACCATCTACCAACCTCATTCCTGATCAGTTGTAGACCTCCTTGGATGAGCCGGTTGGATACAAACGACAATTCTGACAGCCAACCAACCTCACTAAACTCTTGCTTCATTTAAGATTTAATCAATTTTTGTAAATTAAAAATTAACTTAAAGTAAGATTTATCAAATCTTTTAAGTTCAAATTTAGTAAATTATAAAGTGTTTAGCTCCTAAAAAGTGTTGGGTATGATAGAAGTTAAATCTGATTAAATCTTATGAAAATATTTGCCAATCTGATTTAGGATTTAATGCTCTTATTTGAAATACAAATTTAATATTACATATTAATAATTAATTATTTACTATAATCAAATTTAATTTATGTATTTATTTTTAATTGTGCTAATCAATAATTAAATATTCACTAAACTAACTAAGCATTAATATATATTTTAAATTTATTTATTTATAAAATAACATTTAAATATTAATTAATTTAAAATTGATTAATTATTTAAAAAATTAATTTTACAATTTTATTAAAAATTTAAATTGTAATTTATTTTTGTTATTTAATTTTGAAGTTGTTAAATTAGATCCACATAATTATTATTAACTGAATAACATAATAATTAATTATTAATTTCCACTAAATTATTTGTAATTAAGTTAAATATTTTTTAGGTTCTTACTTGCACCTAAAACATTACTATTTATGTATTTTACACTCAAATTCAACTATTACCAAGTCCAAACTTCTTTAGCAGTTTCGGCCCTTCAAATTTTTTTGGCGGGCATCAATGTAGGTAGAATGAGCTGCGAGCTTCAAAATTTCTCTTTACAATATTTCCTCTATTTCTCTTCATGCTCTCATAACAAGTCTCTTTTGTCGAACTTTGAATTCGCCATTATGACGACCGATAGAGAAATCAAGAAATTACAAAACCAACATTTCCAAACCTCACAGCTGAGCAACACGTCGCCACATCAAAGTGATCCCTCCGACCAACCTCATCGAATTTCAATATCGCCACTAGGAAGGGTGGAGGGATATAAATCATGTGATACTTCTCCACTATCTGGGGCAGCTTATTTGGTGCGGTGACGTTTTGAAAACGTATTTGGCCTATTTGGGTAAACTGTGTTTTGGCAGCTTATGCATTTTCAAAATGTTAAAAACTGTGTTTTCACACAGCACTTGTCTAGGTACGGTGGCAGCTTCCTGACTGTGGTATGACTTTTCCAAAAAAAAAATTGTAATAGTCATCGCACCTAATTTATCGACAAATTAATTTGAATCAGATTATCAGCAGATTATTCAGGCTCTGTTTGGGGCAGCTGAAGCTTCTTAGCTTTTCTGCTGTAGCTGCGTTACCCCAGGAAGCTGCTGCAGGGAAGCAGTTGTGGGGAAGTTGACTGTCTGTTTGGTGCAACTGTGTGAAACTAGCTGTTTGGCAGTTGTTTATGGAAAAAAGACCATATTGCCCCTATTTGGTAAAAGTGTTTAAAAGAATATCATAACAATCATATTTTTGGAACTTCAGTAAGCCTCCAAAGTGCTAACAACTTAGAATGAGTCAAGCAATAAAACCCTCGCTCATTAGCTGCTTTAGACATTCCATAAAATTCTAACATATACATACATAGCTCTCATGCCAGATTGATAACACCAAACATCAATAAGCAGAAAATATGTTTCCAGCATGTTTAATATAGAAAATGGCAAAAATATAACTTAATTCCTGATAATCAGCATCATCAACTTGGAATGAGTCAAGCAATAAAACCCTCGCTCATCAGCTGCTTTAGACATTTCTCCAAACATAAAAAAAGAATTTCAAGTGATACAAATGTATAGAAGTACAAGCACAGTAAAACATCAATTTATTGCAAACTGCACATGAGAACAAAAGATCAATCTCACCTGCATTCTGACGATTACATTATTGAGTATCTTGCTGTTTAGCCAATCCCCAAAAGGAGGAAGCATAAGTTGCACCATAGAGAACACAAATACAAGAAAAGACAATAGAGAACTTGCGCATCCCCAATGCACTCCAATATATGATTATACATCATGTAAGTTCTTGAAGCAGCAATTAAAATATAGTCGTTATATAAAGCTTTCAACCAGGATGGCTACTCAAAATATATCCAAGAACCTTAAAATTATTCTTCCTAACTAATTAAAAATATAAATGAAAATAATTGTCATCCAGAAAAGTGACAGCTTGACAAGTTGAAGATAATGAAAATATAAATTCCATCCATTATCAATCAGTAAGAGGACCAGGATACTTTCTTCATTGCCAGAAAAGAAGAGCAACTTTTGCATACCATTATATGAAACTTCAATGAATTAAACACATCATGTCATAGGACGGTTTGAAGCCATAAAATAAAATTTACTTTTCTCTTCTCATAAAATAATAGCTAAGTCATTGAGTCCAAGTAACCATTGCCTCCCATTGTGGCCAAGCATTCAAGTAACGCCAAGCATTCAAGTAACCTTTGCTCAAGTAACCTTTGCTTTATGGGGAATACAAGTAGGGAGTAGAGAAACAAAAAAAAAAAAAAGAGCCCAAATTGATTGCATTTTGTATTCAATTGCATTTGAAGAGAGCGGATTTTCTTGGTAATGACAACAATGGTTGCTTAAAAATTTAAGTCATCCTAAAGTGTCTCACCAAATATATGCTCTACCAATAAGAAGATAATCTTACCATATTTTCATCCCATCCCTTAATGTGCTATATATAGAGATGTTTGAGAGATATAACACTATCAATTCTCCATGTACAACCAATAACAAATATGTTAAACAGTTTTCAAACAGAGCCTGTAAACGATTGCTCATGAAGCAAACCTAAATCCGAACTTCCACCAAGTTCTTACTGCATACAGTTACAAAAAATCTAAAAAAAATTGCAAATAGTTAAAAGCTTAATGCATACCACTCAACTCTTATGTATTTATGTATCTAAAAGCAAAACTTCATATATATGTAAATGCCCCCTGCCCTAATAGCAAACCTTCCCCCAAAAATAAAATTTAGTTATATGAATATTTTTAAGTATAACATTGAATCTTGGCATTATCCCAATCAAAATAGCAAAAATCATACCAAATTGAATGGCAGATGTTTTATAAGACTAAACCTAGGTTGAGGTAAATTCAAACTATGTCAAACCCGAAAGTCCTAAGCCAAAGATAATAAATATAATACAACCGTCATCACTAGCTCATGACAAAAATAACAAAAAAAAAAAAACACCAAATAATAAAAGAGAAAAATAATCTTTGAACGGATCATTGTTTGATGTGATATTTTTTACTAGAATAATTATGATGCTTCTCATCAAATCTGTCTAGCTTGACCAAACTCAGCTCTAATGAATTTCGAAGTTGACATTCATTAAATAATTAAGACACTCAAAAGTAATCCATCAATCACCACATGCTGATTACTCTTGTGAAACCTCTTAAGTATAAAGATGGGAACGTAGTGTCTTCCCTTGAATACAACTGGCAGCAAAAAATAGAATGAGAAGAGGTTATAAAAAAATTCCGCCAAACAGAGCCCAAGGGATCTCAATTCAACAAACCCAGCCAATACTTATAAGAGAAGTCATTTTGATGAAAAACAAAATTTAGCTCTTAGCTTCCAGAGGAGAGCTTGTAAGAAATGTTTGATGAACTTAAAAAATTTAGCACTTGACATTCACACCATACAAATGCAAGAACAACACATTACTCCAACCACAAAACTTTTTTAGGCGAAATAAAGAAGAAGAAAGGCTAGAGAAAAACAAATTCCTTTGCCAGAGAAACTATCTACCGGCTTGCTCCAACTGAATGAGATAGATAAGTCAAGAGGAAAGCAACCTTAGGCCAAGAACGTGAGAGGAAGAATGATTTGAAACCTAAGTGAAATGAAATAAATGAAAAAAATAATAAAAAATGTGTATACCTGCGAGATCGCCGAAGAAGAAGGAATGGAAGAATGCGGGAGGGCAGTGATGAAGGAAACGTGGCTCTGAGAGTGGGGGACTTGAGGGAGTTCAGTGGTGCAGCAGGCGACGGATCTTGGCGTCAAAGGGTTATGCGGGAAATGAATTTAGGAAAATGAGAGAGAGTTCGGTCGAAGGGGTATGCGGGGCAAAAGCCAAAATTAGGCTCTTGAGAATGCTGAGGCACGGGGTATAACCCGCGGCCCCGCGTTCCGTCGAATGCCTCAACGCCAGCCCGCTAATAAAAAAAAAAAAAACTTGCGGCCACGAGCCGCAAAGTGCTAAAAAAGCCCCGTCAAACCGAACCTGAATAAACTTCAGCAGCTCTTATCAGACAGCATGGAGACACAGAAGTTTGGGTTTTGTAATATTGAATTTTGAGGTGTAAAATATATAAATAATAACATTTTAATTGTTATAACCCTAAAATTACATATAAGCCCGAAACCGACTTCCCCTTCCGCTCGCCTTACCGAAACCCTCGCCTACTTGCCTACCGCCCCACTTCTCCTGGTTTCGCCGAAAAACATCGCCTCCCTTCCTCTTCCTCTACAGTGGCCGAAACCCTCGCGATAAAGTTGCTATTTGTGATCGAGCCGTAGAAAGACCTCCGAAACTCTCATCTTTGTCCTCCTCCCACTCCGTTAATACGCGAAACAATTGAGAAAGGTAACCCTCTTCTTTCTCCCCCTTCATTCTATCCGCCTTCTCGAGCTTCAGCTTTTCTAAATCCCGTAAATCTGTCTTCCAATGGGATTCACTAAATCCTGGATTTAAGGCAAAACGGTGTAAAAGGGGATTTAACAACCTGTAGGATTTAAAATTGTGTTTTTAGCTATTTTGAAGGATTTAAAGTTGTCTTATTTGAGTTTTTTTATTTTTTTTTCCGTAAAATCAGAGCGAGCAACAATTTTTTGTGTCAAAATACTTGATACCCACTGCATATGGTTTGTCTCCTTATTACACCAGTTTTTGCACATTAATTTTTACTATGTGATTTTTTTGTGTCGATTTAATATATTTCAACAGTGTAATTCTTGTTCATGCACAATATGATGAAGAAACAATTTAAAGGATAATCATTTAGGGACAGGGGGCTGCAAGTATTGGTTGTAATTGAAACCGACTTCGTTCCCTTAGTGTTTTGCATTGGTTTTTAATTTTTAGCTCAGCGCTGCAGGAAGTGTTTAGTTTTGAAATAAATTGGTATATATGTTTAGCACAGATGAACCTTTCAAGAGTGAACGCTTATATTTGTTGATTTAGCTGATAAACTGAAACATGCTTACAATATAGGATCATGATTTTGTTTTGTGTTGATTAGTGATGAAAACGAACCATGATATGGATTTTTGTCAACTCCTCATATGATGAATGGATTTAATGATAAATGGTGAGGGTGGGTGAATAGCTGGGGCTATTTTAATCAAGTAAATATTAACGTCTTGTAGCGAGCATGGTACTGACACAATTTGATTTTGGGTTTGACCTCGCTGGAATATTGTTTGAGTCAACTTGAAAAGTAACTTAGAATACTTGTATAGTATAGAGTAATGCATTTGTAGTTAAATAAAATTTGATTACTTTAAGTTAACTTGGAATGGAATGATTTTGACTCAAATATGAGTACACTAGCAATCTAAATTTTTAATTTTTGGATGAGTTTAATTCAATTTAACTCAACTCATGTGAACCCTAATTTAAGGCCATTAAAAGGAGCTTCATAAAAAATTGTAATACATTTAATTGTTTTAGGGCCCGTTTGGGGCAGCTTATTTGGTGCGGTGGCGTTTTGAAAATGCACCTAGCCTGTTTGGGTAAACTGTGTTTTGGCAACTTATGCGTTTTGGGCGTTTTCAAAACGCAGAAAACAACGTTTTCACACCGCACCTATCTAGCTATCAGCAGATTATTTTTAATCAGCTTATCAGCAGATTATTTTTAATCAGCTTATCAGCAGATTATTTTTAATCAGCTTATCAGCAGATTATTTTTAATCAGCTTATCAGCAGATTATTTTTAATCAGCTTATCAGCAGATTATTCAATAAGCTGCAGCTGACCCAAACATACCCTTAATCACTTATTGCTTCATAAGTTTGCATAATAATTTTATAAATTTTCTCATATTTACAAATGCTATTTCAAATAAGGGTTGCTTGGAGTCATTAATATTTTTTTGAAGTGCATTTATATTCCAAATTTGAGCTAGAATCTTTCCATTTCAATCTTCAAGCTTGAATATTTTTTGGCTTGATTGTGGCATCCATCAAATGGGATCCCTTTCAAGTTGGTGAAAATTTGTTGCAGTAGGATATCTTTCCAGGAACTTTAAGGCTGCTTAAGGCCAAATTTCTGATAGAGATAGGTTGGGGTCCCATCTTTCACATAGAGTTTGTTTGAGACAACTAGAACTTATTCAGATAAGCAGCTTATCCAGATAAGCAGCTTATCTTAATAAGCTGTTGATCAGTAGCTGACCCGGATAAACTGGCTGACTGTTACGTTTGTGCTGTTGGAAAACAACTGTTTCTGGATAAATTATCATTTTGCTCATGTACAGTAATGTTGTTTGCAACATAATTGTCATAGCAATATATTTGATACTTGAGAAGTAAAAGACTACTTCAAAACAGTACAAAAAAAAGATACACATCTCACTTAACTGTCAGTATCAAAATTACTAAAAAAATGAAAAAAACTATTAAAATTACAATTAAAAACATGATAATATTAATTTTAAAATGTACAAGGTGATTCAAGACTACATGACGGGACACGATGCTCTTCGATGTAAGCTAATATGTAAAAGCCAAACATTATTAAGAAACTCAAATAACTCAGGAGCCCAAAATAACGACAATTCAAAACAAAAAAATTGTCAAAACAATGAACTTGAACTACATTATTCTTATTTTTTCAAAAAGGTTTTTGATCACATTTATGCCATCGTTTCCACAATTCATATATGTTTTACTACCTGCGTTAAATAATACCATACTTGCTACCCATCAAACAACAAATTGATTAGTTCACCGATATCTACAGGAAGCAAAAGATAAGTTGAGTAGTTGAAGCAGTACACAGTACACATAATTAAGCAGCAAACTTCATAAGCTTACGAGATAGGGTACGAAAATTTTGGGCTCAGGTAAAGAACACTAGCCCGAACGGGAGGATATGGAGCCTAAATTACAAAAAGCACTCAATATCTTCATCAGCAAAAATGGAGCAAGTAAAACACCTTGTTTCCCTAAAAGTGGTTGAAGATCAAATCATTTTTTACAAACCTGAGGCTTCGGTATCACAAATGGACCCCTTAATTCAAAGATATCATTGATCGATAGCGATGACAAAGTTTCTCTGCCTTGCATAAACTTCATCCCATGCTCATCAAGGTCTCTGGTCATCTTATCGTATGGTCAAGACCGCCTTTTAGAACTCGACATTAAGGACTCTAGAGATCGGATCTCAAAGAAAGTCAAATCGGATTACTCGCCACGGCAAATCCCTAATCGCAAAGAATATAAAAAAAGGTGAAAACATTGTGTCATTATCGGTGTGGATGGATTTCGAGTTCTCCATGACTACTTGGAAAATGAGGTAGAAGACGAAAATGGATATGATCCAAACTGTCGCTGCTACTCTACCGCGGCTACAGAAGCTGGTAACTGTTGACATTTGACCCTGTGCTTCCAAACTGTTGTTGGTGCTCTACTGAGGGAGACGCAATGCCGTGGGGCAAGGGCGTAATACACCCTCAAAGAACGTAGGCTGCGGGGTCGATCCCGCGGCCGCGTTTAATAGAATATTCGATCAGATTATTCCAATACGCCGACCTGACGCGGAAAACAAACCCTACCTGTCGCGTTTTGAAAACGCACCGCAATGAAGAAGCTGCCACAAACGGACCCTTAAAGCGGCGAACTATTCGCCAGTGATAGTAAGCACTTTTGAGCAATACTACATCAAGTACTTCTAGAAGAAGATCAAACTGATATTGGAGCTTGTCCTTCTTACTAACAACATCAAATGTCTGGACTCTCGAGCTCATGATATCAATATCAATGAGATGGATAGCCTAGTGTAATAATCGTAGTGTGCGTCGGAAAGCTTTTTAGCTCATTACCCTCAATAGTTTTTCCAATGCAAATTGTAATCTTTTGAAAATGATTTGATCTATAACTTCAATATATTAATTCATTTAAGGATATATGACAGTTGTGTGGGACTACTTAAATATGAAGATTTGATTTATGACTTTAATCTATCCATTCATTCAGTGAAGTTGTTTCACTTTTTGAATAAGGTCAACATAAAAGAGAATTGTCTCCTGCAACATAGATGTGTAGAAAGATCCAAGTTGAAGTCCTAAAAAAAATGCCTAGTAATAAGCTGAGACATGCTTTTGAAATTTGATGAACTTTCGAAGAAATTTTTGAAATTTCTCTTTTTTTGACATTTTTGGCAAATCCTAAAAAAACATGAGATAAACCTTTAATAATTTTTAATTTTTTGATAAATGATTTGATAGAAGTCTTTTAGTATTAACAAAATTATGGCTAATTCGTTCATAAAGAAGAAAACTAACTATGAGAATGACCTTTGAGAGTGGCAAGTGAATACCCAGTAGAAGAGTTCATCAAAAGTTTGCTTGTTATGCATGATGGTTATAGTGATTGTTGTGCTTACAGGATTTGGAGGACCACAACAACAACAAGCCTTTATCCCACTAAGTTGGGTCGGCTATGTGAATCCTTTTTCTCCATTTTTCCTAGTGAGCGTCAAAGGAATTGGAGGACCGTTTATAAAAGTGTATAGCTGGCTTCTTGAATCTCACTAATGAATATAATGTGCCTTTAAACTAATAAATACGTATTAATTTATATTTTTAATTTTTATTAATTGATAATAGATAAGTAGAATGATTTTATTCAACTCATTATTTATTTATTTTTATTTGTTTGAAATTAACTCATATTTGGCTCATGTTCGACTAGAAATGTAATAAGTCAAATATGAATATGATGTTTACAAAGAATTTCAAACAATTGTTAGATATGTATATCCTAATTTTTTATTGAGCCAAAGATGAGTAAATAACCAAGTATGTGTGCATTTACTGTGATATAATGGTTGATGGTTTAATTTTTTATCATTAGGTGCAAGTTTGAATCGCGCATAATGTCTTCTAGGCCCAACTTTCTTAGGAAAAAAAAATTTTGAAAATTATGTGTCCCCAGTACAGCCTACTTGTACTAATGCATATATGTTGCCTCCAATCACAAGAGCTTTATTTGAAACCTAACACATACGGGTGTGTGTGTTAATTTTTTTATTTTTTTCAAAGTATGCCCAAATAATTTACTCTTATTGTTTCTTTCAAAAAAAGAGGGGAAAGGATAAAAAAAAGCTTTCGCATCTTTGATTAGTCACCATAAGATTTGGGCGGTACATGTAAATCTCCCTTATTTATAATATTTTTTCCCTAATCTTTGGCTAGTCACATGGAACCATTCTTGACCGCTGCACAAGTAGGGCTTATCTGTGTTTATTCCTCTTTGAGAAGGCAAGATGCGTATTTGGATTTGATCTTTTGGGATCTTCTTGGGTAACGGTAAACATGCATAAATGCAATTTTCTTCTTTTTGCAGAATCGATCATGATGCC